ACCAATTACTTGTTAAAGTTTGTACAATCAGTGGGATCAGTTGCAATGCATATATGTGAATGATAAAAGTAAATTGCACATTTGTCGAAGGAAATGTAAGGTGCTTCATGAAATGTTTTGTAAAAGATATGTTCATTAAATTTCAACATTTTCCTAATGTTCTTGTGCTTCTTTATACCAAAACAAAGGAAAGACATATTGTTTTGGTTATTTATAGCAAAGTATTGTATCATTTTAATGGTCCGGCCCACTTGACATCTACCGAGGCCGTATGTGGCCCACCATGTGAAATGAGTTTGACACCCCTGCTCTAGTAGAAAGTAGCATAAAGATGTTATGTCACCATAAGTATTAATGAGAGGCACAAACGTATGTTCGATCATAACATGGGATCAGTTCAATTTCCTCTTCCATTTTTATCACCACAAATTGCCTTTTTGCCATCACTGGGACGAGATAACACAAAAAGCCAAAGAAAAAGAAAAGTAGATTCACATTATCCTTATAGGTGCTCACAGAACAAATCTTGCATGATGACGGTTCATCTTCCGGAACTTTCTGAGCCTTTTCACACATTTCCTATTTTTTCAAAAGTTGCAAAATAGAGCCCCAGAGGAACGCTTTCGAGCAGAGGTACAATGATACTGCCTATTGTTATGTTTGTCACACGCAACTGAATTGGGTCATGCTTTCGCCGAAACACTACACAAACTAAGGTAGGGTTAGACATCAAAACATCAAGTTCCTTAAATTCTTCCATGAAGCCTTGACAGGATGTATCTGAGGATCTATTCCCTGAAATAAACAAATAAACAAATAAATCAATACATGTGGGAGGTGTCTCAGGAGACTTGCAACTTCAAATCAAAATGTGGTGGATGCATTAAACAACTGGGATAACAGGGAGTAATTTTACATGGCTCACAGCTTCAGAATCCTTTAATGACACTTAATTGCTCCCATCATTTCCGAGACGAACCTGGATTGCCTATTTTTGTCATATACGATAAGTGTGGAACAGGCTGAACAATGCCTGCTGTGTTAGCACTAGCCTTAGCACGTAGCGTTACACTAAAATAAAATGATCAAACAATGCCTTTTACAAGCCATGGTGATCTCAAGCCACCATTTATTTGAGTGTAAATCAGAGAAGAGAAACTAACAGACTCAGAAGAGAGAGACTCAAAATTGGTGTAGATAACTGCATTACAATATTCAAACTTCTTTTTTTATAAAGTCTTAATTTGATTCCAGTTTGTTGAAATTGTACATTTCCACTGAAGACCTGAAGTGGAAATTACAGTAAATGTAAATGTTAAAATATGTAGATTTATTGCCATGGCAACATCGGTAAACAGCTTGCAATGTTTTACTGTGGCCCAATAGGTGACTTGCCGAGTGTTGCCCTTGTTACTGAATGTGGCATCTTATATATATTTTTTAATTATTATTTTTCTTAAAATACTTTTGCATCATTTGATGCTTGCTGATACTCTATAATAACTGCAATAAATAAACATTGGTATCTTGGTCTTGATGGCAATTTAAAGAGTCTGCCTTACATTGACAATACATGGATGCACAGTCAGTATAGGTATTGTGAAAACAAAAATGTAAAATCCTAAAATGATACAGTATGCACGTGAAATTGAACACACAAAAGGACAAATCTACAACATGCTCATCTAATTGTCATTCTCACTCCATGCGTTGCCATCTGAGGTTGAACAAAATGACTTCCAGCCAAGTAAGGTTCATTGCTTGGAAAATGCAAAAACAGATGGTCAAAATGAGAAAATGCAATGCAAATGTGTATCTCTGTAACATTCAGCCAACCTGCAGTGGTGATGATGTCATTGAGACTTCTGAAATGCAGAAATTCATATTCCTCAGGCGAGCGATGTGAGTAAGGAGAAAATAAAACAATGCCGCTTGAAATGAATTCCGTCAAAAAAACAAAAAACAAAATGACCCAGCCATTATTTTCCTTATGATACTTGTAATCTGATATCAATTTCCAGAAAGTGTAAACAAATGGAGACATACTGTCAGACTAAACTACTGTGATCTGCCTGTAACATTCAATTCCTTGTGCTGCCAAATCAGATCATCCCACTGTTGTGGCTGAGCATTTTATACACCCTTTGTTTTCACATGACTGGCAAAATAAGTCACACTTCAGAGGATAAACACTGCATTTGTTTGGGTTTCTCCATCCATGAATACACAAGATGGACAATAGATGGTAAAATGATACCGATGGCTGAGATCATTTGAGTTATTTGTATTTTGTGACCAATGTTCAGATATGAACTTAATGACATACAACATAAGAAGTCATCAGAAACTGCATTATTATTAACAATAGCTTCCACTCATTAAAGGACCAAAGGGGGCTTAACAAAAACAGCAGGGGGTTATTAAAATGTTGAATATCTTCTGAGCACCATGTAGCTCATGTTGGCCACTAGAAATCGGGATGGTAAACTTAGGATGCAGAGAAATGCCTAGATGGCTTTTGGTGGAGGTGGTTAGCTGGTAATGAAAACTGCATAAGGTACAGAAAGTGCAGAAATGAGGAAAAACAGTTGAACTAAAGATAAAGAGTTGTTTTGATACAAGGAGCCTATTAAAATTACAATTGTAATAATAGGAAAGTAGTAACTAGTATTTTTCTGTGTTGCGGAGCAGTGATATACATTACAGCATTATTTACAATTCCATCAGATTTTTTGAAACACGTTATTTTTTTCTCATGGAGATCTGCTGTTTAAAAAAAAAAAAAAAAAAAAGTAAATAGCATAGTTGTGACCATCCATCCATCCATCTATTTTCGAATCTGCTTAGCCTCACAAGGGTCGCGGGTGCGCTGGGGCCTATCCCAGTAGGCAGGGGACAGCCTGAACTGGTTTCCAGCCAATCGCATGGCACACACAGACAAACAACCATTCACGCTTAAACGCACACCTAGGGACCATTTAAAGTGTTCCATCAACCTTCCATGCATATTTTTGGAATATGAGAGGAAACCAGAGGACCCGGAGAAAACCCACGCAGGCATGGGGAGCACATGCAAACTCCACACAAGGAAGGCCGGAGCCGGAATCGAACCCTGCACCTTTGCACTGTGAGGCGTATTTTCCTAATCAATCGACTACCGTGCCGCCCCATAGTTATGATAATCCCAGAAATTCGAATCCAAATATTTTAAGGGGAATGAGAAACGGCCATTAGAAACACCATGCAAATGAAATTGTGCATCGGGCCCCAATTTGGTTAGCGGCAGCCCTGTACTTTTTGTACGTACTTTGTATAATCATGATGCTTCTGACCAGAAAGAAGGAGTGCCAATAATTGTTTGGTGTATCTTTTGCTTTGTACCTGCTGCACGGTTGCAGGAAGTGGTTTTGCAAAAGTCCTCTGTAATATGGACTCCAAGGAATTTGAAACTAGACTAATTCCGGAGCCTTGTCAATGATGAGCACAGTCTTGGTCACTACCAAATCCCCGCACATTTTATGTTTTGATTTAAAATAAGATCACTGCAAGACAGACATGGCAGGATTTTCACTTCAGCGCTAAAGGCTGACTCATCATGGCCATTGATCAGCATGACTTTTGTGTCATCGCAAAACCTTAATGAAGGTCATGGGGGTTAAAAAAATAAAAAAAAGAAAGCCACAGAGCTCAGCTCATATCCTTGCCAAATGCTGATGTTCAGGGTGATGGCCTGAATGTTTGGGGTGGTTGGTCAGAAAATCCAGATTGCAGTTGCAGACAGTTGAGCTCAGGCCAAAATATATATTGCAGCTGTGATACCAGCCGCCAGGGAATGATGGTAACCCTGAATTCAAGGTTTTGTTTCTCTGTGTGTTAAAGAGCATTTAAAGTTTGATGCTTATTGTTCCCTTTGTCGACCTGATTTGTAAACTGATGTTGGTCCAGAGAAGCATGCTGTTCATCGAGTGTTTTCGAGTGTGAAACAACATCAGCATTTCTCATCATTTTACACTCACTGAAGCTGTTGCAATCGGCCTATAGTCATTTGAACCACTTACATCTTTTCGGGTAAAAGGTTTCAATGAACACCTCCGCCTAGTAGTCGGAATCACATTTCAAATGTAATTCCACCTAAATGCCGGAATCACATTTCCTCGGACAGCATCACGTCCTGTTTCTCTCCAACTTTGAACTCACACAGTGCTGTCTTCACCTCACTTTCAGAATTAATGGCACCTTGAAAACCTTGCATGCAGGATGATGAAGGCCAAACCAGTTATTGTGTTATGAGGAAGCTGTCCCCAAAAATGAGGAAACCTGTGATGTTCCATTAAAATTGTGGGGTACTCATCACTTGGGCAGGCTACAGTCTCTCCTACTTTCAACATTCTCACACAATATAAAATTGCATCTAAAAAAAATTTAAGGATTGTGAGAGAAGTTGACGTACACACCTTGGTCATGTTGTAGTTGGAAGGATTTGAGGCTCCATGCGATATGGTGGCCCAAAGAGTTGCCTTGCGTGATGCCGCAAAATCCCACGATTTAATTTTGCCTTTTGCAGGTTTTCCATCTTTATAAAAGTGGACAAATAAAGAACTCAGAAACCTTTTAAGTTCAAAGGCTTCATGTAATTTATTGGAAAAAGATTCAACATTAGGCTTTTGAAATGTTTCGCTTAATCCCAATAAAATCGACTGCCTTGATACCTCAAGTCACTGTTTCAACTTCTTTAAAAGCCATTGTATCCATTACAGCATATTCATGCTGTGCCTCGGACACGAAACAGCACCTTGCGTGACTTCCACCTCTGCAGGCTGCCGCCCATTTAGCTTGACTGTCTGTCATCATTACATTCTTGTAAAACTTCCAAAGACAATGCATGGGAGGGGGTTTTGAGGAGAGGCAGTCTCCTTTGGAGTGCTGTCTCACCTCTGACCTCTCACAGAGGGAAAGAGGTACACACCAGAGAGAAGATCATCACTAAGCTTCTGTGACTTTTAATGACAGGTCCAGTTTGGGTTAGAATAGCAACACTGTCATCCTGCAGAGAGGAGATCAGATTAGACTTCACTGGGCACGGGAAGGAGCTGCGGCAGCTTTTCTTGCTTTGTATCTTTAAGCCTGGCTACCGGAAAAGGTTTTGTGCATGGGATTCACTTAACGTCAACCAGTGGCCAACAGTCAAGGCCAGTAAAGTCTTCTCTGCCTTAACACCATCAGACGTACATCGACCTAATTTCTTGTTCCATGAAATTATATAATTATTGATTTATTCCCAACAGTCTATTTTCTTCATTTTGTAGCATTTCTCTTGACTGCAGCTGCACTGGTCCCATAACATGTAGATGTTAGATTTTACCCACAATGCTTGGTTTCCGCTCACATATTCGACGGCCCGCACGCGGAACGAAAGTACAAAGAGAGCCCTTATCCATTGTTATCGTTATCGGTTATCTGTCTACTTATTTCTAACTTGGTGAAAAAGGTCACTATAAGGACAACTGTCCAGTACGTTGACTCATTAGAAACAGTTGCCTGAAGTCAATACAGTGGTACCTCTACTTAAGAAACGTCTCTTAATACGAAATTAGTTACGATACGGCTCAACAAGAAAATATTGCCTCTTGTTACGAAAGAAATTTCAAGATACGAAAGGTAAAAATATAGTATGGGCAGCGACTTGCAGCTCGGAGTTTCCTGAACGCAACATACTAATAGCTGCTTTGCCATTGGCTACTACCTAGCATCTTCCTGGCATCCCATTGGCTAAGAGGGACCTCTACCATATGTGTCTATGTGTGTAGATAGATAGATATGTGTCTATGCAGCGTCATTCGCCCCTCGGACTATGAGGTGTTCCAGTAGTTTACGTAAATATAAATCACCCAGAAAAAGTGTTCACCAGTCGGACGATCGCTCACGATGCTGATGTTTGCCATGGACATTTTCAAAGGATTGTTGAAAGCCGACAAAAGAAAACGCCCTTGGATGAGTTCTTTACAGAACTCGAGCCAAAACCTACTTCTGAGAAAGAACATGAACTAAAGAGGGCAAAAAAAAAAAAAAAACGAGGATGCAGTTAAAAGTTAAATGACCATCATTCTTTATTCTGTTCTCTGTGTTTTACATTATGCACAACTCTCATTTATTGTGCAATAATCTAATTGTAACTTGTATTTGTTACATATTTTGATGCATTTTTATGCTTTGGACATTTTTGTCTGAATTTTGAGGGGTTTGGAACGGATTAAGGCATTTACATGAAAAACACGCCTCCACTGACAAAATTTTCGAGTTAAGAAATTTCTTTCAGAACAAATTAATTTCGTAAGTAGAGGTACCACTGTATGTTGAAAACCTGAAGTTGGTTGGAGGGAAAGACGACGGGAAAATGCCGACTCCTTGGACAAACTTTCAAAATCATATGAAGCCAGTTTGTTCCACAAAGTGAGCTATCACATTGTGAATAATTTGATTGCAAAGAAGAGTCCCTACACTCGGGGGGACTTTGATGCTTTCAAGAGTCGTATAATTATTGGTTGTTTGTGTCCAGATGTCCTGATAAACTTGTCTCGTTGTATGTCGTCAAAGTTTTTAAGTTAGCGCTTAGCTTGCTAGCCGCTAATAAAGAGACACGCTTGTTTGCAACACATAATGGATTTAGCGATTATTTTGCCTCTGTTATGTCACTCACTCGACCGCCAGCTCGAGCCTAAAAACGGTGTACAAATATGACATCACACGGTGGGGGTTCTATTAGATTCCCAGATTATATTTTCGATGTCCAAATGTTGCACATTGCTTTATTATAAATAAGATAATGCACATTCATGTGAATATCCAGCCCATGTCTCACTCTCACCAGCATTAAGAGCTATGGAAATGAAAAAATATATATACCTGTATACAGTATCCCATCAATACCTTAGCCACAGTCACCTATGAAAGCAAAACACCTCAACCTTCATGAAATCATCAACACACACAAGTTATTCTCCATGAAGTCTCTTCAATTAAAATAATGATGGATGACAACTGTTGTCAGACAGCACCAGAGAAGATGCCAGCTAAGCCTTTTTAACTGGCATGGATTTGAAATGCGCAGTCATGCGGTTAAACTCTTATTAAGCCCCCCTATTCTTTGCAAAGAAGTAGCAAGAGTTCAACTGGATTGAAAAGGTTTTCCTCCAGTTAAACAAAACAAAAAAAAAAAAAAGTCTGGCCTGCACTTCCATTTGGAATTCAAGGGGGAAAATGCCCTTTGAGTGTGAGAATCGAGGGGAGATGCCTTCACGGGCTGCTGGTTACGCTTTGGCAAGGGCCTCAGTAGCACTTGGCCCAGACAAAAACAAAACAAAACAAAACAAAAAAAAGTCCAAAGAGCTACCTCAATGAATGCTCAGTTCATCTACAAGGTCATCGCGATTCTCATTAACACCCGTCTACAGAACTTGGAGAGGCAGCAGTTCATTCTGCAAAGAACAAAATAGTGCAGTGGTGTGGGAGTGAGTGCAAGTCGTTCGACCATCAATGAGGCGTAATGAGGTGCACGAAGTCGGACCAAAGTACTTTACCCGTAAACATAACCTACAGAGAATGCTTTTTCGCCTGCCGTGGTGGTCAAAGGTCCACACTGCGGCAGGTTGATTCATCTCTTTTAATAGTGAGTCATTAAAAAGATGGCACTGCAAAACAGAGCACAAAAATGTCATGTGAGCGTTTCTGTATTGAATGAATCTTGAAGTTACATAATGTAAACACTGTTGCATTGCAGTTGAAACAACAAGGCAATTCACAAACTTTTACTTGTGATTTTTTTTTTTTCATATCCTTTAATGGGACAGGCTTCATTGTTGAACCTTTTTGGACTATTTTCAGAATTTTTTTCTTTAATTGTTAGAGTACAATTCCCCCAAAATAGTTTACATTTTTTGGGCATTGAATTAGGAAATACAAAGATAGCTTGAAACCCTTACAATGGTTAAGGTGCTTGAAATCAGAAGAAAGTTCTAGTATCCAGCAGCAGCAAAAACTAGAAAATGACATGACAAGTAAAAAAAAGTAGGATGTTCATTCACAAGTTAATAAACTATGAGATTATAAAAAAAAAAAAAAAAGCAAAAATAAACATTTTATCTTGTGACCAAAAAACTCACTGAATCAGTCTCATGATAGTGGAGTGAAAAACACATTCTCATTCTATTTCAATGTTTTAAAACATTGATTATATTTTAAAATATGGCTTCATTTGTCAAAAGTGGAGCTTTGTCATCACAACCTTTTCATGTGCTGTCCCCAGAGGCGTACAGCCGTGTTTAGTGAAGTTGTCAGTGCTGACAAATGGATGATGAAGCACATGTGCGTGACGACTTTACATGTTTCTCAAATCCTTCCAATAGGAGGCCCCGGTAGTCCTCCACAGGTTCACAGCATAGATGTGGAGAGTGAGATAAGCTGAGGAAGTGCTCTGAGGTTACGTGTATACTGTACTTCCACTGAAGGCCTGATAGAAATCAAAGAAATGGATGGCTATATTCACTATGCCAGGGGTAGGGAACTCCGTTTCATCGAGAGCCGTGTCCTGCCTGTTTTCTACTTCAACACACCTGATTCAACTGTTCATGATAATTTCAGGCCCCTGCAGAGCTTGCTGATGAGCTGATCATTTGAATCAGGTATGTTGGAGTACGCAGGGATCTAAAACAGGCAGGATAAGATAAGATATCCTTTATTTGACCCCATACAGCTCTCGAGGAACCAGAGCGCACTATACTGTGAAAACTCACTTTTCTCCGTTGGTCTGTGTGAGATAATGCGTAACGGAAGGAGAAAAAAAGACGCAGCCCGACCAGGTCAGACATACGTGACAGTGTAACTTTACCTTTGCTGCGGGTGTAAATCATCACCTGTACACACCTACCTGCCAACTCCTCCCTGACCTCCATTCTCACTCACACGCGATGAGCAATTGAACTGTCAGTCACGTAGCAAAAGGAACCGCTGTGAAGACTGAGCTTATTCGCACGGAGGCGCTTTCTTTGGTAGCCAACGGCAGAGGCGACTGTCTGTGCAATTCCAGCAGTCACCTCACAGCATCTACTCTATGTGTGGATTAGGTTTCGGCATCCAAACACCAAGACGTGTGAGGTTTAAGGGCTCAAGGAGGCTTATGTGCAAACCAACTGGTTGCTTTACAGGAAATATAAGCATTTTATAATGCATTGCATTTTAAAGAAAGCTTCAAAGGAGATCTATTATGTTCAATAGACCAGTACACTTGCTGAATGTGCTCGAAATGTCAGAAGGAAAAACTCAAGACAAAATGGACAAACAGAGAAGAACAGACTCGAATTATAGCGGACCTACAAAATAACGAGAGTATATATTTCTTATTAGAACACCACATTGAGGAGAGTTAACAAAAACTGTTGTGTCCTTCCCTTTCACTGAAGAAAGATTTGCGTGGGTGTCAAAACAATTTTTTTCGTGGAATATGTGTTTATTGTGGTGGATTAAACATGCTCGAGAGTGGGTAGTATTTTAACTAAAGCCCTTCTAAATGAACAAAGTTGGTCACATGAGTGGGATGTTCAGGATCACCAGGTCCCTCCCTGAGAGCAGGCACGCACGCACACACACACATACACACACGCGCACACACTCTTGCTGACATTCTGTCTTGTATGTGTGTGTGTGTGTGTGTGCGTGTGTGTGTGTGTGTGTGTGTTTTGGAACCGACCATGTTAAAATAAGTTGCCAAGAGTAAGATGCTCGGGAGGTCAGACAGCAGAGAGGCTGGAGTCTGACAAAGAGGGCAGAGCATGCGAGATTGATGAGCCAGACAAAAGTGACATGAAGCAGATGAAACTGACAGTGTAAACAGAGAATACTAGTCAAACAGACCAGGAAATAACAGGTGCAGCAAGGTGTCAGCAACAGAAACTCATTTAGAAGCTGTGGTAAAAGTTACTGTTACATAAATAATGGGTGGGGTTTACACAAAAAGGCTAAGAGGTTTTATCCACTCACTTCCATTGGTTTTCTTGACCTTGATTTCACATTGTACCTCTGTACAAGAGGTTGACCTTGAATCAAAGACAAAAGAGGAATGACTAGAATTAATAACAAATTACCAAAGACTCAATAGTTAGGTCACTCCAGAATTGGAGGACATTTTACACCCCACCCATCAAATAAACCGCATACAAAATACAAAAACATGCAGTTTGTGAGTACAGTTGCTTGTCCCAAGACCAAGTTAAAAAAAAAAAAAAAAAAAAAAAACTAAGAGAAAGTAATACTTGAAAATAGTTTTTTAAAAATACCAAAGAGTCTGGAGTACCCCCTACAATGGAACTTTTCTCTTATCCCACCCCCCAAAAACCAAACTGGATCTCAAATAAAACAATTCAAATGAAATGTAAATGTTTTTGATTTTATTTGTGTCATTTCTCTCTCTTGCAGCTGTGGGAACATTTGTTTTAATAAACGTAATATTTTCATTAATAATTATTATTCATGGAATGTGTATCCCACAACATGCACGCAACCCAGTTACCATAACTTTTTTAGCTTTTGTCAAAGAAGAGGAAAGCATTGAATCGAATGATACGCTGTACTTGACATCATCAAACCATTTTCCTAAAGAATGGGCAGAGCAAAGGAATGTCCTCTCTTCTATTTTTCATACTTTTACAATGTAGTTTGTCCTCTTGGTCAGCAGTAACAGCTAGCTAAACAGCTAGCTAAACAGCTAGCTTCTTACTCCTGAAAGAAAACTAACATGGCCCGGATTTACAACCCTGTTACCTGCAGACCTGTTGCTGTGGTTACAGTTAACAGAGTTGATTATTTAGGTTATTAGGTTATTATTATTTTTATTATTATTATTATTATAATTATTATTATTATTGATGAATATGTAGCAGAAAAACCAGAACAGTGTAGGCTTAGTTTCCCAAGAACTTTGAAGCCCAAATGTTAATATTCAACACATACCAGTGGCTTCTCACAGCTTATTCAGCTCAGATCAAATCTTTTCGGTAGTCCTTGGTGTTCTAATAAATCTTGTGACATTGATATAGAAAGAAAGTAGGCAGGGGGTAAACTTCAATTATGTGAAATTATAATGTAAGATAGACCAAATGAGGGAGAATAGATGGCATCCGTTTGTAAATAAATGTCCTTTCGAACGAAAAATGCAGAGGTAACATTGTGTAATCTTGGTTTATGAGCAAGTAAAGGAGGCTGGATTCAGTCCACACATTGGCTTGTCTCCACCCTCCTGGACCGATTTCTAACTACAAATTCACTACCGCACTAGCATCTCAACTTGTGTGACACTCCTCGAGAGAAGAAAACTGGACACTTGGTAAGCTCACTTTACATCAAAATTGTCTTGAAGGTCTTGCTTGTCGACATCATGCCTGTTTTATTTTTTTATTGATATGCATAAACAGTTGATATGCATTAACACTTTAATTTTGAGCACTGGAGAAATCATTCATATCATTATTATCATGTTTAAATGTTGGTTCATTATTAGGTCTTTTGTAACGTTACTTACAATGAAATACAAGGAACATCATGGCCACGTTTTGATTAAAAATAGGATGCAAACAGACTGACTGGAGGTGGATTCATTGAAATTCATTATTGTGGATAAATATACTTTGTATTAATGCATTCAGGTAAAAAGTAAACATTTAATGTCATAATATCAGCAGGAATATTTTAATACTAAGGCTAATGCTACTCTACTGGTAACAATAATTATGGGGTTTGTTCAATGGATTACTGTTAGCACATTTACCTCACAGTTCTGAGGTTTGAGTCTTCCTGTGTGGAGTTTGCATGTATTCCCTGAGCTTGCTTGTGTTTTCTCTGGGGTACTGGAGCTTCCTCCCACTTTCCAAAAACATACACATTATATTGACTAACTGTCTGTAGACGTGAATGTGAGTGTGAGCGGTTGTAAATCATATAAATGGCCCGGGATTAAGTGGCAACCAATTCAGAGTGTAGTCCGCCTCTTTCCCAAAGTCAACTAGGCTAGGCTCTAGTTCACCCGTGACCTCTGTGAGGACAAGCGATACAGAAAATGGATGGATGATGGGCTTCACTGGCGATCATTAGAGTGATATAAGCTGCTGTCCGCGGTGCTGAAGCGGATCACCAAATCCCACTCGGCCAACAGGCACGACCAGGAGGCCCGAGGAGAGCAGCCGCAGTTCACATCAACGCAGTCTGCAAAACATCCACATCCAACATCAACTCCATTGACTCACATTACAAAGCTATGTCACCCTACAGGCGGCAAGACTGCATCCTGCAACAGAGATGACGGAAAGGACAGAGACCAGCATGAGGCAGCGATGGCCACACGGCCTCCTCGTGTGTTGGGTACTCATTGTTAATTAGCTACTAATGCTTCACAATGTAGGATTCGCCTCCATCTGGTGGCTTAATTGGAAAGGACACCCAAAATTCCCTTTAATTGTGCCTCGTAATCCGAATGACCTTTAAAAATTTTACTGCTCCTTCATGCATCATGTTGCTCGCATGAAAAAAGAAAAGAAAACAGAGAAAGAAATCTGAGCATCATTATAACAGGGATGATGGAAAGGAACATCATTGAAAAATTATCTGTGGCCTACATGCTATTAAAATGACATTAAAGTAATATATGCCTGTGGTGTAAAACTATACTGCAGCATATTTACAGGTATTTTCTACTATATTTTTGATTAATTAATTGATTGACGTCACCAAAATATTACACAATGTTAATGACATCACAATATTTTAATCATTGTAAAACCAGACTACAGAGATATCAAAAAATAAAGGGAACACTTGGAGTTACTTATCTTTCTACAATAAAAACAAGGGGGAGGGGCAAGAAGGGCGGAAGAAGTTTGATCACCTCTTTTCTATATTGTGTTAATCGATATTTATTCTGATTTCATGTTGCCGTTTAATTCATTTTAATATGCTACGGTTGAATTTCATTTAATTGCATCAACTATACCACTCCTACTATTATTACTACACTACCACTAAAAATAAAATCATATCATTGTTATGGTTATCATTATTCGCTGTAATAGTAATAATAACAATAACAATTAGTATTATTATGAGTAGTAGTGCACAAACAATAAAACAATGATAGTGATAGTAGTCTATCCATTTGACAACAACATGACTTCTGCATCTTTGTGTTTGAACTTAACTGCAGTGGGACATCCGACGCTCGCCTAGAAATGCAGACTCAACGCTGTACCAGCGATTGATTTCTTTCTCTCGTGCAGAAAGAAAATGGGTTTGGCTTGCCAGGCTAATGCGACGCCGGTTACCTGCCTATATAGCATGCGGGGAGGGGAGGGAGGTTGTTGGGAGTGCTGCTGCTTGGAGGTGGTGATGTTTGCAGGGTGGTGTGACACCCTCTATAATGACATCTTAAAAAAAAAAAAAAGACGTTGACTAGCTACGATGTTGGGACCTTTGCAAAGGCAGAGCAGGCAGCGCAACAGGCTGCGCAATTTGAGATTTGACCGCTGGATGAATTAATGCAAATATATAGTTTGTTCAGAACAGAGAGAAACTTTAGATGAATATTTTTTTTCAAATATTATATATGTGTCTATATTATAATTGCTAGATTTCGATCCTGTATCTCACGCCATAACGCGACTTTTAAAATTGATGCCGTTCCCCACTGCAGGGTGGTCAAGATGGCTTTGAAGCTGGATGAGAGCGGCGGATTGTTTCTGATGAGCCTGTTAGTGACTTGTGTCACCTACTTGCTGTCCCTCCAAGTGTGTCGCTGGTTCCAGCAGCGCTCGGTTGTGCGCCTGCCTGGTCCGTTCCCTTGGCCCATCATCGGCAACGCGGCGCAAATCGGCAAAGCGCCGCACCTGTATTTCGCGCGCTTGGTAGAGAAATACGGCAACGTCTACCAGATTAAACTGGGCTCCCGGAGCGTGGTGGTGCTGAACGGGGAATCCATCAAACAGGCGTTGATCAAACAGGGCTCGGAGTTTGCCGGCAGACCCGATTTCACCTCGTTCCAGTACGTGTCCAACGGGAACGGGCTCGCCTTCGCCACCACATCGGACTGGTGGAAGGTGCACCGCAGGGTGGCCCATTCGACCGTGAGGATGTTCTCCACGGGGAACCAGCAGACCAAGAACACATTTGAGCGACACATTATCTCCGAATTTAAAGAGCTTCTGGAGCTCTTCGTGCGCAAGACCGAGCAGCACACGTTCTTCGTGCCCCTGGCGGACTTGGTGGTGTCCACGGCCAACATCATGAGCGCGGTGTGCTTCGGCAAGAGGTACTCGTACGACGACGTGGAGTTCCGTCAGGTGGTGGGCAGGAACAGCCAGTTCACGAAGACTGTCGGCGCAGGGAGCATCGTGGACGTGATGCCCTGGCTCCAGTACTTCCCCAACCCCATCAAAACTTTGTTTGACAACTTCAAGATGCTCAACCGGGAGTTCTGCGTCTTCATTCTCGAAAAGGTGACGGCGCACAGGAAATCCTTTGAATCGAGCACCATTAGGGACATGACGGATGCTTTGATTGTGGCTTTGGGTAAAGTCAGCGAGAAAACTGGCCGCCGATCGGACAAGGACTATGTGTCAGCCACTGTTGCAGATATATTTGGAGCAAGTCAAGACACGTTGTCAACAATGCTGCAGTGGATCATTCTCATCCTTGTCAAGTAAGCCAGTTTCCTCTCTCTAGGGTACTCATTTTAAATAACACGAATATATGAACATTACTGACATTGTAACATCCAAAGAATTTGGGAAAAACAATGCTAAAATATTTTGAGGCACTACAATGCAAAAATAAATCTAATAAAAAGAAATAAACGGAGTGCACTCAAAATTTCAAGGCAACAAAGTTGAATAAAATTTGATGCTGGGCAATTCATCAAACTATTTTTTAAGTTTTGCTCATGTGAAAATTGACTTTCCTGTATTTGTAACAAAGAAATAAGAGTTTTAAAACTAAAGGTCAGTAAAAACAGCTCAGCAATTTTTTTTGAGGCAAGCAACTTACTTTGTTGTGCTAATGTTGTTGCCAAAATTGTCAATAATTGATATTTTAATGTTATTCCAACTTCAACAACCGTTTTAACCCACCAAAAATACAACTTGTGATTTTTTTACAGTGTAAAGCGGGACCGTGAGTTTTTTTTTTCCAAAGAAAGAAAATACAATATTTTACTGTAAAGTGTGAAGAATAACAATTTTCCTAAATTGCTAATTTTTTTTCAAATTACTTTCATTGAACTAAATTTCGCTTTTTTTTTTTTTTTTTGCCTTCAGTGCACATCATAAACTAAACCACTAAACTCATGATGCTTTACCAAGTTCATTAAATGTATGTCACACTCAGCTTTTCATTCATTGGACACCATCACTTTCTTAGGACTCCTGGTTATAATTTAATTTTTGCGGAATACCTCCACAAAAAAAAAATAAAACGTGAGCACAAAACAACAGACGCACAGGAAGGTCAGCACATGAACGGATAGTGGCCGGGTGTTGTGAAGTTCGCGGGCGTGGTGGAGTGTTTGAAGCAGTTGTAAGTGAAATGCTTGCTCGCAATTTAAAACACAAAACTGATTGAGTGACGGGTTGTATCTCAAAAACGCGGTAACCTGGGGCACTTATAAGTCCAGGTACCTCTGTATGACGCTACACATCTTTTCACAGAAACCCACACATACCATTCAAATTTGCCCCCTTGAGAAGTACAGAGCAGACCCCATTGAATGCATGAGCCCACACGCAAAGCGCTGACATATCTTCATCTTCATATTTGTCCAAGACCTCATCCGTGAGACTCTGTGGTAAGTGTAGCGCAAAACAAAAAAAGGCTCCTAAATGATCTTAGCAAATTTCATGTTCTTGATTGGCTTGATAAATGGCAAACGATGGCGCCGATATCAAGTACATCATAAAAATTTAAAAAAAAAAGAGATAAAATCAGAAATGCAAATGTCTCAATTTCAGAAGAAAGATCAGATGTTGCTGATTACATATAGGGCACAGCATATCATAGCAGTCCCCAGATACCATGAAAATATGTGTAAACATCCCCTCCATCACGGATTCAATTTTGTACCGTTGTTGCCTCATTACTTTGTGGTACTTGTGCAAAAACCAAGACCATGAACATTAAAACCTGTCACTCTCCCAAAAAATCCAAAATCCAGGTTCCCTCGTCATGGGTGTATTCGCAAATGCGCTCCGAGCGCATTGCTTCATTCAGACCATTCGGAAACTCAGAACATTGTTCAGATGTACCGTTTGCTTATTCGGAGTGCCACCAAAAACACATTACCAGAGCACCGTGTATCACACAGCTCGAGGAAAGTAAACAGTTGAAGCATAAGTTGCTGATTATAGGCTGTGTTCAGAAATTAATACGAGTGGAGGCACCACAGGAGGGCGACGATATGTTCGCTTAATAACTACCTACAATTTTTTCTTTTCAGTTTAAAACGTCTGACGTGAATCAGAATTTTGTCTTGCACTGTAACCGTAGGTACAATACTGCTAAGTTAATGCGCCTTTTTGGCCCTGTAAATCCATGTGGAAACGGATGCAAGTTGCCATGACTACCGTTGTTCTTATCCTAATTCTTCTCCGCCTTCTCAATGGAAGATAAAGAAGAAGAATCTCCGCCGGAAGTACCGTATTTTCCGGACTATAAGTCGCAGTTTTTTTGTAGTTTGGCTGGGGGTGCGACTTATACTCTGGAGCGATTTATGGTTGAACTTATTAACACATCATTATATCATTTCACATGTTACTTTCACATTAAACCGCAAGAGGCCGCTCTAGACCTGTGTTGATAAAACCACGATGAGTCTGATGTAAGCGACGTAGAAGAGGAAGCACTGCATCTTCTACCTCTGGAATTGGTGGAGTTGCTTTAAAGTGACACAGAGGATGAAGATTCCATTGGATTTAGAGATTTGGAGTGACACTGATGGTTTGGTGAACTTGTTAGCATGTTCTTTATGCTATAGTTATATGAATAACTCTTAATATGTTACTTGAACATACCAGGCACTTTCTCAGTTCGTCGTTTGTGCGCAATGTAACGTGAGCATATTGTACACTTATTCAGCGCGTTGTTTTCTATTAAATTTTTTTTAAATTGCCTTTCAAGATGACATGTCTGTTCTTGGGGTTGGATTTTATCAAATAAATTCCCCCCAAAATGCGACTTATACTCCAGTGCGACTTATGTATGGTTTTTTTTGTTCTTTATTATGCATTTTATGGCTGGTGCGACTTATACTCAGGAGCGACTTATCGTCCGGAAAATACAGTAGATGATAGTAATCGTGTCAAGAAGTAAAACGGTAACAGCAATGCGATACCCTGAAAATTTGGATGGCATCAGGCACGTGGTCGCAATCCTACTCGAGATGGAATTAATTGCAAATTTGAATGTCTATAACTTTGTCTTGTTTCTCCATGGTGGATTCCTTGTGAATTTAGGTACCCGGAGATGCAGGTGCGTCTTCGAAGAGAAGTGGACATGGTGGTGGACCGCAGTCGCCTCCCCTCCATCGAGGACCAGCAAGCGCTGCCTTATGTCATGGCCTTCATCTACGAGGTGATGCGCTTCACCAGCTTCGTGCCGCTCACAATTCCTCACTACACTACCACAGACACCTCGATCAGTGGTTACGCCGTACCAAAGAACACAGTGGTTTTTGTCAACCAGTGGTCGTCCAATCACGACACCGCTGTCTGGTCAGAGCCGGAGAAATTTGATCCCCAGCGTTTCCTGCAACCCAGTGGTGATCTGAACAAGGACATGTGCAACTCTGTACTCATCTTCTCTGTGGGGAAGCGGCGCTGCATTGGAGAGGAGCTGTCCAAGCTTCAGATCTTTCTCTTCACAGCTCTTCTGGTTCACCAGTGCCACATTAGCACAGACCCGGCCAGGGCGCCCGGCCTCGGCTACAGCTACGGTCTGACTCTCAAACCAAACCCTTACTTTATCGCTGTGTCACTGCGGGATGACATGAGGCTGCTCAAAGAGGTGACCAGCCAGGTTTTAGACGGGGAAATCAAGATAACTCCCTCAGACTCTTAAAAAAAGGATGAAAATAAATTAAGTCCAAAAAACAAGCAGGCAAAAGAAGTGAACATTTCTACGATGAAATGGCAAGTTCAGCAAAACATGGCGGTCAAGTTGTGTCAGACGTGATCACTAACAGCAAACCTATCGTGAATTTGTTTGATAGCGTGAGTTAGAGACGGATGACACAAGACATGTATTCATAGCCATAGGCCATGCATGAAAAGTCTTCATTCATCTAAATATACTGCTTACATGCATCATGAAGTCGAACCAGATTTCAGATGGCGCGACGCAGAGGCTAGAGTACTGATGTGATGCAAGAACATCATGGTAGGATTCTTCTGTTGGGATTTAAATACTGAACTGGAGGTCTTCATTTAATGCAGCATTTCTGTTCAAGAATGACTCCATGCCCAACAAGCCAAAACAAACTCACAGTGCGCTCTGCTTGGCATAACCTGCAAGATAGTTATTTACAAATAAGGCTGATGACCCATTATCTGAACCTCTTCATCCTCACAAGGGTCGCAGGCGTGGTGGAGCCTATCCCAGCTGACTTTGGGCAGTTGGCGGGGGAACACCCTGAACTGGTTGACAGCCAAGCACCGGGCATAAAGAGACAAACAACCACTAACAATCATGCCTACGGACAATTTCGAGCGGTCCATTAACCTACCGTGCATGTTTTTCGGAATGCGGAAGGAAACTACCCGAAGAAAACCCACGCAGGAGTGGAAGAACAAACTATACACGGGAAGGCCCAAGCCCAGGCTCAAACCCATGACCTTTGCAATTTGAGGCGGACGTGCTAACCAGTCGATCACCATCCCGCCCGTGATGTAATGCCAAACAATGCAAATAATTGTGAAAGCTATTGTACATGCAAGTGCTACTTGTGAGCTGTTGTATGTATGCACAACTTAACAGACCTATATTAGGTCATGACAGCATCTGTTTAAATTGTTCACTACAAGAACAATAAGGAACAACTGTTTTTTGTTTTTTTTTTGCTCCAATGCTCCAATTACAGTTATGATGTGCAATTTCTCTCTCACACACGCACACGCACACACACCTGGGCTTTGAACTGTATTTCGGGTTAATCGGTAGCAATTTAAATGGTGGCTGACTCGCATTCAACAAGAATTTGAATGTGATTATTTAGTTGCGAACATAACCACATCCTCTGGGTGTAGACAAATGTGCAACCACATTATCTCAGGTGTTTATTTTTACTCCCCTCTCAAAAATCCTTTTTTTTTTCAATTGAGTTGTACAATCAGTAATGATGGAAGAAGTTCAGAAATGATTTGTCATCGTCTCATTTATTGAATGACACGTGGCATTTTAACAGCTATGTGCATACTTTTTAAATTAATTATTTTGATATGAAAAAAAAATCTGGATCCTTCATGATGTTCATGACTGGTTTGTCTTATTGATTAAACTATTTCCAAAAAAATCATTTTCGTTTACAAATGATTAAAAAATGTATAACTACCCACCCCCCTCCCCCAACACACACACACCACCGCAAATGTGAATATTTTAATCCTGACATTGGACTATCCACACAGTGAGAATAAACACATGACAAAGGATGAACCTATCCATTCAACCAGAGAAGCATTTTACATGCTGTAAACGCTAAATCACCTTATAACTCATGAAACCAGATGGGGTAATTTCCATCAACGCTAACGAAACAACAAATCACAAAAGTTACACGTACCTGCCAACTGCGACAAAGAGTTAAGTTATGAACCGCTTCAGTCTCTTGGTACAGCATGCAGTAACTGTATATCGTCGCTGTCCTGTGAAACATATGTCCATTTTTTTTTCGTTAATGGGATATCTGCAACGTGTTACCCTACTACGGTTAAAAATAAAAACAACAAAAATGGACATAGGTGCTTTTCACAGGAGAGCCATGACATTTTCGTCTACAAGAAGTGTGATCCACTGTACGTAGATCTGCTCCTTGTCACCTTCATCACCGTCACTCCGCCAGGTCAGGTAGGGACCAAACTGAAATGCTTGGGGGATGCTTTTCTGTTGCACAGCTATTATCACACTCTGTCAGAACATCCTGTACTTGATCAGTTAGAGACCTGCAGAGTGCATAACAAAGCGTGATAAAAGTACAGTAGATGAGGACTGATAAAGATTGTCGACATGCTTCTTTTACCATTGGCACGTTCAAGATGAAAGACCTCATGGTGCACCAATTGTCACAGGTGGCAAACCATCATGTGAAAAATGGAAACAAGTTCGACGCTTAAATCTGCAGAGTTGCCAGCTGTGAAATTGGCGTCAATATAAAGAGTGAAAGGCAGGAACCTTTGCAGAATCCCCACACAAATATGCGAAGTCCCTCATGCAGATTCAGTAGCTTTCTTAACTGTGTCAGACATGCATAAGCCTGCTGAGAAAAGATTAAATATTGCACAAAGAAGGGCAGCATGTCATTAAAGCGTTGCACTGTCAAGACTGCATTAACAAGATTAACAAGAACCTTCACATTTAATCTGGAGTATTTTTTTTTTTTTTTTGCGGAGACAACCGATTCACAGCAAGCTCCTGCAATTGTGTCGTTTCAGCATGACTGTGCTTTAGTAAACCTGAATTAACATGAGAGATGTGGTTTAGACAAGTAGATTTCAAAGAGGAGTTTGCAGGCTTGTATGTGCCAATGGAGCAAAGACATGTTCAAGCACAAATGCAACGCTAACTGATATCATTTAAAATCAGCAAAAATCTTGACAAAATGACAAAAAAAAAAAAAAAAAAAAATTGGCAGCAAAACTTGCTATTTATATGGGAATGTGTTGTTTTGAGGGTTTGGCCACGTGAAAAGGTTTCCGGAAGGCTAATATTGCCAACAATAGTCTGATTTGAATTTAACCTTTTCACGGACAGCCAATACTGCAGTGGGCAGTTTTTCATGTTATCAGGTTACAGGGTGCATGAAAGGGTTAATTTTGTATGACTTCCTGTTAAATTCACTTAATGTCGATCAGACTGAGATCCGTGCAGATTGTGAAATTATAGGAAATTATCCAGATTTAGTTCATTAGATTAAAAGGTCAAACTTTCACAATCAGAATGTTAAACTGTTAATGTAGTACCGTTCAAATTCAAATTGACAACATGTTCTTAACTTTGGGGAGGTAGAACCTCATCTGTGAGGACTTGGACACCGGTACTGCAGCGTCACGGACCGAATCGCGCTACTGGCCAAAAAAATACAATGGCAAAAGGTTGATGGAGAGATGCTGGACTGCTTTTTGACGACTATGGTGTACTTTGCAAAGCAAACCTCTCCACCACACTAACACACTACATTGTAAATAATAATTACAAAAAAAAAAAAGAAAGTTGACAGAAATTACAATTTCAAGGCAACAAACTTTGATATTTTGGGCAGTTCAACAAAATATTGAAAGTTTGCTCACGTGAAAATTACCTTTGCTGCAAGTTGTGTTTTTTACAGTGTAGCCGAAGAGCTGAACAATTTGTTCAACGCTTCAATCTCGCCTTGCGTGCCTGCATGTGCGTGAGTTCTTCTGTTCTTTAATTGGATGACACTAACTACACAGCAGAATGGAAACTGAATTTCCCCTTGAGCAATGAGAATCAGAAAAAAAAATGCCGTGAGGACGATGCAGAGGTAGATTTCTGCTTGTGGTTATAAGGTGAATCACATATTAAGGTCTTGCTGTATAGTAAGTAGCTTTGCACTTTGCTTTCCTTCTTTTTAATAAATTCCATTTTTGAGTCAATGGTCATCATCAATGTTTTTCAAAATAAAACTAGCGATTCTCCAAACACATAATTTACCACAGTGATCGCGTCTTCACTGAGGATGTTTACATTTTCACAGTTGACATGTATCTGCTCGAGTCGTATCCTCATTAAAAGTCTGCCGGTAAATCGCCCGAGACAGAAGACAGACAACAAACAGGGGATTCCACCAATGTTTTGGAGGGTGGAGAAAAGAAAGTAAAGTGCAATCATGTCGTGTGAGAGGCTACTCAAAACACAAAGTCAAAATGAAAGTGGAGGTGATTTCAAATAATTAAAAGAATCAATCACCTCTTCCTTCCTTAGGAATTTGAGCTTGAGGAGACAGAACACTGGTAAAATATGACGTGCTCTTGTGCAACCAAAGGTTCATTCCTGAAGGCCTGCATGTACCAAGATCAAGATAAGAGGCACCCAGACAGACTGTACTCAAAGCAGTCTGAGAACACATTTCATAGAATTCTGCAGCCCAATTCAGTGATGTGTGCAGGAGGAAGAGGAAGACAACATTGTCAGTAGATGTAACCTACATCTCATTTAAATAAATCCATCAGGTAAAGGTAGTTCAAACATGACCAAAATGCTGAAACATGACTGAACTTGTAGGCCGTTTGGTTGAATCAGATATGGGAAAAATGTCAATAGTTTCCTGGCACAAAGAGTACATGACTTAAAAAAATAGTCAATAGTTTCCTGGCACAAAGAGTACATGACTTACATGATTTATGATAAAAAAAATCATTACACATTCAAACAAAATCCAATAGAAGCACATAAAAGGACTGAAATATCGCAGTTGGTTTTTTCAGATTTAATCACAGATTCTTTGATTCGATGAGCCAGTTCACACAAGTCTATGGGGGTACAGTATACGCCTCCATGCAATGTATCTGCAGCCTTATAATCTTACCAAGTATCAGAATTGCTTTGGCGCTCAATAGAACAAAATCACATGCGTTCATGCAACGTTACCTTGCCAGAATAAGCGTACTTGTGTAAAGCGACACACACACACACACACACACACACACACACACACACACATTTTTTTTTTCTCATAAAAGCAGATTTAAAATGATTTTAAATACATAAAACAAACATGAATAAAATAAATACATGTCAGGTCTCCATTTCGAGTACATGTGTTAAAGCAATTAGGAATGGATAAAACAGTAAAAACAAACAAACAAAAAACAATCAAATTCCCAACCCTCAAATTTATTATTCACCCAAAAATTACATTCACTAATTTATGTCACACATCCAATATTTCTGCTATCGAGACAAAACTATGACATCATCTACTCCTAAATGGCTCTATTTTAACTGCCTTGACCTTGTAAATTGTGTCTCTCTCACTGGTATCACTTCCGCTTTCTATTGTTTCGCTCACCTGGTAAAACATGCTTCACGGTACTGACGGAAGGCCCACGAGTGTGTCACCAATGGATTCCCGGTCTGCTGGAGACTGACAAATGACGGGAAACTTTGACAACAGCCAACAAAAGTGGGTTTCGTCCGTCACGAGAATCGTCACTAACCGGGTCAGTACCAATCGCCCTTTCGCAGTCCGCCACAGACAATAACGGAGTGATGATGACACATTTGGATTGAATTAATGATGGGTGGGTGGCCTGGCCGCTGGCAAATGACAACCCGGCAAAATTACTGATGCGACCATCTCTGATTTTAACAATAAATCTGAGCGTGCACAAGATTAGTCTCTATATCGAAACGCCTCGTTTTTTAGTGAACCGGTTTGTAAAACATTTGAGCCATTCAAACTGGGCATGGACCAATTACCGGTTTGACAGTTGACCGCGGTTTTAAAAAGTCAAGTTTCAAAAACCACAAATACTATCTCTCATCGGTAATGAGCTCTTCTTTTCTTTCTGAGGGCGACATCGAAGCAGGGAATGAAATGATTTTAATGAGCCGCCTCTTTCAACTTAATTATCTCCCCTAAACTTTTCTTTTTCCTCCTCAGTGAGCAGAGAGTAGTTAGGGGGCGGAGGGGGGGAACGAGATTCAAGTTATAGTATATACCGTACGTATACTGTAGACACACAGTATACACACACAGCTCAGAGCAAGGCATCCTGGGAGGCCGACCGCAGTCATTTGGGGTGGTTCCACTTACGCTGCAGGGACACACACGCACACAGCTGTGAACATCGATCATCTGATTGTGGTGTTATGGCATTTTCAAAGTATTTTGATGACTTGCCAGCTGATCTAGAACTGCGATATCAGCAGAAAGTTATTCTGTGTGAAGGTAACGACCCATACGAGCTGCCCAAGGCTGGTTTTTCGGTGGAGAATGCTTGGCCGAGTGTGTCTTATCCCGACATCGTTTACCACGTGGTGTTGGTGACAAGCTCTGTGACACACCACCAGAGAATAGCCTACCAATCATTGTAGGCTCACAACTATTTTGCAAATTAAACTGGTACATTACTTCTGCACCAAATATTTTATCGGTATTACTTTTTAAAAAAATTATTCAGACAAATCATTTTAAAAAAAAGATCTTGAGAAATTTCAGAACTATAATTTTAATAGCTTGATGCCACAAGAGTTTTGGTCACGGTCATCATACTGTTAAATAATATCAGCCCACGCCTAATTCAAATCTAAATATATTATTTATACTTTTTAAGCATTGATTGATGTCTTTTCTAAAGTATAAAGTGGATGTGAAAAGTCTACACACCGCTGTTCTAGGGGCGACTATAAAGATTTTCTGTCAATTCTGTCAAATTGAAGTTGATTAATCAATCATTGAGGGTTTTGGGGTTTTTTTGCACCACGGGTTGGTTTCGCATTAAGACAAATGTACACGCCCACATAGTAACAAATACAAACAAATGATTAAAATTACAACTCACCATTAAGCTGAGTGTAGTGTTTTTTTTTTGTTTTGTTTTTTTTGTCTGTGCATGTTTTTCTGTTCCAGTGTGTTGTAAGACAAAATTAAGTATTTTTGCATTTCAATTTCTCTTGTGCTTTTAGTGTATATGAGGCTGAGGACTTGAGTATTTTGTAAGTGCTTCAAGTATAATCTTTGGTAAAATATGGCCATATGCTGGACGACAGTGATGACTTGTATTAAAGCAGGTTTTGATGTACTATGGTTATAAGTGGTAGAGTGAGCAACTAAATGCCCTTATAGACGCAGGAGGTGTGCCTTTGGCATGAGAGCCAATGACAAATGTCACCCCTTTAACTGTGAACAGGCGCCAGAGTGAACAATGCCAATCAATAGGTGGCATTACTGTTAAAAAAAACAACAAAAAACAAAACAACTGTGCGTGATCATTGCATATTAGTGCTAATTATGTCAGATAGGTACAACAAGGTGGGTGCAGTAAAATAGAGCCACTTATCAACAAGAACAGGACAACAAGAGGTCACTGACTGTGTTGGATATGCCATTCTCTGAGCTGCTTTTCTTGTTGATGTTGTTGACAAACAGGACGGAACAGGCAGTTGCAACAAGTCCAACAACAAGGCTTGCTTGCCCATTGAAACTTTGTATTGACACCAAGTCTGAAGGAACCAGTCTCTCAGTTATATTGAGGACAATGGGCAGGACATCGGGGTCCAGCCATACCAACCATTACAAAAAAAAAAAAACTGACTTTCTTCCTGCAGATTATCGTGTTCATCTTCAAGTCAACATTGACTCGCTCAGCCAGATGGCTCCCAGTGATGATGCAACTCAACAACTTGCCTCTCGCTGAGAGTTTCAGTGTACTCACTGCACATGCTACAGGTCCAATTCGTCTTCGCGGTCTAATATTCCAAGTTGCGGGCAGAGAAGGTCAAGCTCTTTCTGTGCGTCTTCATCCTATTAACCGAGCCCTTAGGTTAGTGCATTGAAATCAAGTCATTTCATGATTTGAACATCACTTCACATCAAAATAATCCGGTGTCCCTTTTCCAGAGCTATAGCACAACAAGCTAAAATAACATTAGCATGTGTTTTTATTTTTGTCATGATGTCAGATTTCGAACATGTAATTTTTTTTTCTTTGTATATTTGATCAGCTACTTTTAGTTTCCAGTACCTGACCGGGTCAGGAAAAAAGTACTTGATTGCACACAGTACCAGTTAGTACAGTTCTTGCTTTTGCAAAGCAGTTTTGCCAGCACAAGAACAAGTAGCTTTGTTTGGAGCCATGCAGGGCTAGAGGGTCAAAGAAGTACTTTTTGTTTTTCATGTGACGTTTCCTACCTCTTTTGAAACAGACTGCATGGATCTGGCAGCTTCACACATCTCCCTTGCCTTCTTCCTGTACCCAATGTCTCTGTAGCACTGTCACGGAGAAGGACAAGGAGAGACCTTTATAGGGAGCCCGAAATTTAAAATTCAGGATATCAACAAATACATTGGTGATTCAATCATGAGGTACCACTACACACCAATTTAAAGAGATTAAAATGAAAGACACAAATTCATGATATGATATTTGTGATATATATTCGCTTTGGGAGAACAAAACTATCATTCCAATTTATGGTCCATTTACGTTTTGGCCACTCAAACAACTGTTTGCCTGAATGTGAACAGCGCATCGCCACACAGCACCGAGGCATTTCGCTGAATAACAATGGCAAAGAGCAGTTATTGGGACAATCAACAATTGCAGTACAATCGCTGACTGGCGACTCGGCATTTGTAAATGATGTTATTTCCTGGAGATTGCCCGACAAAAGCATTTTCGTTAAGAGCATTGCTATGGATCTAACTATGAACCAGGGTAGGTTGCATTTAAAAAAAAACCTGAATGTATGCTTGAAATTGTTTTAGCTCTAAATATTACTCAAAATATGGTTGGCCAAGTTTACTTCACACTTGAAATTAAGGCATTAAAAAATACCATCAAAAGGAATCTATACGATAACAGACCTTAGCAAGAAATACATAGTTGAGTTTGGAATATCTCGGATGTATATCTTCAACCTACAACAGAGAAAAACGTTAAGATTAGCTTTCAGAGAGAAATATGTTCATTTCTGGTGATGTTTGCAGTCGCTCTCTAAACACAAAAGCCTTTTTTGGCAGCTTTGCTTCCATGTCATGGGCTACAAGTTCTAACAGGGAGCAAGAAATTGAGGGGTAAAGATACACAAGAAGCAAGAAAGAGGCACACACAGTTATATTAGCCAGAAGCAAAATTCATGTCTCTACTATATAAACAATCAAAATTGTGAGAACACACACTAAGCCTCTCTAAACACCGAGGGTTTGGCCTTTGAGAACTTGGCACGGGAGAGATTTGGGAGGAACTTGAAATTGAACGTTTGTCAAAATGGGACACAAGAACGTGTTTTCTTTAACAGTGAGTCTGTTTTCCGTTTTTTTTTTTTTTTGTACCGTACAACCGATGTAGCTAAGCAGTTCCTGTCAGTCGTTGCAGACAGCTCACTCTATCTAAATTGGGGTTGGTTCTAATTTGTATGAATGGAGAAAAACAGAACCTTCAGAAAATTCTTCAGTGCGTCTTCAACTGTGGCACTGGGAGGTTCTCCAAATAATGCAGCAGCAACTTTCCTCTCTAGCCAAGACAACTGGGCTACCTGCAAAAGGAACACCAGACATTAGGAAAATTCATTCTATTTCTTGACTAAAAGGTGCTAGGCTTGAAGATGGCTATTATTAAGGTATCGTCAGATTTTCTAGTTGATTGCATAGAGTGCTCATTTCCTGCTTTACAGCATCCAACTCGACAAACATCCATAGAGTCGCTTATCTCTTACTTAAACTTCAAACAGCGAAAGGTCAAACAGCAATGTGATATTTTTAGTCTATGCATTGCAGTTAATCAACAGTATTGGATAGATATTTCAATCAGGTGTGTTGCAGCAGGGAGAGACGGAAAAGATGCAGGAAAGTGGCCCTCCAGGACCGGGGGTTTGAGACCCCTGGTCTCGACTTTGGGAACGCTTGTGGGAAAACTCGTCTTCGACTGTCCTAGGGCATTGTCGCAGTTGGCAAAATTTCAAATTTTTAAAAGGGAAAAAACTATTTCAGCATTGTACGACAGGTAAGGAACTGCCAATCGCTTTCTGTTTCCACCTGTTCACTGCACGATTAACGACAGCCGATGGGATTTTAAATTGTGTGTATATAAAAATATAAGTAACTGTTCGTACCTTTGAACGCTGACCAGTTATTTTGCGGATTAGCAAAGTTGCCTGCTCATGCACTAGTGTGCATTCCGTGTAGCTGCTCAAAATGCTGATTGTGCTGACCTTCACCAACTCCCAGCAAGATAAAACAAGAGCACAAGATGGGGGGGGCTCCCTTGACAGATCTGTGAACGGTGTCTCTCCATGTTTTTTTCAAATAAACCTCATCTTTTTTTTTTTTTATAATACCTGTTGTCTTGGCTTCCCTGGACAAGACATCGTACAGTAAGTGAATTGGCTGTTTTTTGAGCTCATATCAATATATAAGAAACTGAGGAAAAACAAAGATTTAAAAAGCTCAGTGCAAAAGAGGCTTTGGGAGTATTTTGATTTTCCATGACCACAAGTGGTTTACACACTCGAACCCATCATTTTTTTTCATTCATTTCACTTTTCTGCCAGACTATATCTGGCTAGAAGTCTGCTTCACACCATTCATCTGCGCCGTCTAATTGCAGGTATAGAATTGCCATGGCGTCATCACAGAATCTCTCAAACACTAGATCATTGTGGGACATTCAGACAGGACAGAGAGCAAATAAAACTCCAATTGTGAAAACATCAGGTGTTAGCACACTGCTCCTGACTCCTGGCGTGATTAGTAAACGTGAGTGTTGTTGACTTTTATGACAGTGATCTCCCTAATAACTTATTTCCTTCCTGACAGCTCGTCTGATATTTTGACTGGAGCGACTCTAGAAAAATAACCACAAAAATATATGAGTCATGCAATGCCCCAAATAAACTGCTAGTAGCTCAAGGACTGGCTCACCAGACACTGTGAAAACTAACCAGAGCTGTATCAACATAAATGTGTGACACAATGTTGACCAGAAGTTGCATGAAAATATGTTCTAGTTTACAATCTGATTGAAAACTAACAAAGGCCGGTGTCCTGTATCCTTCTCCTGAACATCCTCACGGGGAAAACAAACGGTGAGGAAAACCCAAACACAGGCTGATTAAGGAGAAAAGGTGGCCGTGTTTGCAAAGGGAGACGAGAGGTCGGGTCGGCTTTCAAGGCGGAAGCGCCCGTGGATGTGGGGAGAGATGTAAGAGATAGCGAGTGTCACACACAGCATAGCACCAGCGGCCCAGCAGGTAGTAGGACAGGGGGTCTTGAGGCTTCAGCTCAATGGCTTTATCCAGATGATCCTGAGGCAGAAGCAAACCAGACAGACGGGGTGAATATTTTGGTTGTTGATTCATGTCACAGCTGCTACTTCCATCACCCTCTGGTCTGACCTGATCTGTCCTGCTTCAACAACCTACAACTATTCCGCAAACATCTCGCACACACGCGATTGTGGAAGGCAGCCACCCAATTCAGCCTCTCGCACACCCGCCCTCCTTTTCCATTCGCGCTCACTACCATTTTACTTACACACACACACACACACACACACACACACACACACACACACACACACACACACACACACACACACACACACACACACACGAAACTGCACTACTTAATTCACAAACATTTCAATGTAAGGTAGGTAACAAGAGGGAAATTACTTACCTTGAAAATGTAGCCATTCTTGATCTTGTTCTGCACTGTGTCATATTCAGCCATAATTCCACACATAATGGCATACCTGAAAGGTATCATTCTTAAGAGTTATTCTTCTACTGGATTAAATGCAATTCTTAAAATCTCTGGTCCACCTACTGTTGTGGCCAACAGCTTTGCCCGTGACTACATTTTGCATTTCATCATCACCTAATGGAAATGAGAAAACACTCGACAAAACTATACTTTATTTTCTTATATATTTATTTCTTATAATATTTTCCAAGCAAGTTTTCATATGTTCCTCAAAACTCAATCATTTTTAAAAGACGTTTTAATCAACAGCATCAGCAAGGATGAGCTGTGAGTGTTCACCTTTACCCTCATCCTCAATAATTAATCCCCTGATGTTGACTATCAGGCTAGTGGGGGCATTTTGGAATCTGTTTGAGAGAATGACACTGAGGGTTTTGGAGAAGAGTGGAGGGATCCGATTTCACCGCAAGGCTGCTTTAATCCTGCTGGTACTCGGTCAAACTCCACAGAGTCACGTAAACACCTTTTATGTACCATGGCGGTGCTGATGGTAGTTGGGAGTCTGTGACTGTGTACTGGAATGTGCAAGGTGCTTTATTTAACAGTGCATGTTTTGGCAGTGGGCTACTGTTTGAACTAATCACTCCGTCTGCTAATTGAGATGAGGGAAAGGATCCATACAATTACAAATCACACAGTACGAGAAAGAGAGGGTTCTTTAAAGAGCACAGAGATTTTTTATGGTATGCAAATCTGGAAATCAGAAAAAATGAGTTGTGAAGAACCAGTGGTCTGCTGCTCCTCCTCCCTGCCCTGTGAGACCTGAAACTCTCCCTTCTTTGACGGTTGAAGGAATTAAAAGGGGAAATAATGTCAAGAGCAGGGGTAGTTCAGCGTGACAAACAGGGAACGATGAGAGTTGAACACAACACTTAATAGCTAAAGATTTATCCCTATTGCTATTGCAGCTTGGCAAACTTGGCATACAGTGAAACTCCTCTACAACGAAACCTACATGGGCAAACATACCCCCTAGTGTGAAAAAATCTTCATGCATTAAGACCATTCCCACTTTCCTGCCACCCATACAACGGAAAAAAACCCTGTTGCATTGTACAAAATCTTTTTCTCTGCTCTTGCCTCGCGACGAGATTCACTACAACGAAGTCTAATCCAACAGCGACCTCTACTGCTTCGTTCGGAAACAGCAACAGCAACCACCGCACTGGTTTACACATGCACAGTAGTCCAGGAAGTATTTGTTATTGTTAGTTTCAGACGCAGCAAGAACATTGCATTGCTAAAATGGCTACAAAATGGACCTTTGGATGTCAAGCAGCTAAGACAAGAGCTCTGACGCTGGAAGAGAGGGTCAAAGTGATCAAAATGAAAGACGTAGGAAGCAAAATAAAAGACATTATCCAAGAAATTGATGTAAGTGAAAGTGAATGCTGATCGTATATTTTGCAATTTCTTTCCCTTTTTTTCTTTCTGCACTGACTATATGAAGTGTAAATAAGTGTATGCTCATACTTATACACTATTGGAATAAAAATAAAGAGTACACATACGTTTGTGTGTGCGTGTACACATACGTGTGTGTATGTGTGTGTGTGTGTGTGTTTGCATCAGAGATCAAATTTGCTACAGTGAAAAACCCCCTGTTGTGAAAAATTTCTTGCTGCAAACATGATTTCGTTGTAGAGGAGTTTCACTGTACAAGCTTCCGGCTTTCATTTATTCCAAGTGACGGGATTGTCATTCTTTAAAATTGTGTAAACGTGGGTTTTGGTAATAGGTACGTTCTATAGCCCGGAGCTGCTGCTTTTCAAGTTGTGACATTTAAAGACGAAGTAACAGCTCCTCCAGCCAACTCTGGCGCATGCCGTTCTTTATATTCAGCTTTTTTAATTTAACACGTTTACTAGTGAGCCGCTACTACAAAAGAGATATAACTTTGATTGGACAAAGGTAGTCTCTCCGTGTTTCTCTTCCGAGTCACGAAGCAGCGCTCTTCCCCGCTGTCCATGCGAGGCACTCTCAATCACTTAACTTCATGGGAACGTTTATTCTCATCTGCATTTCAGGGTGTATGCTTGTATGTATTATTATTTAATTATTGGTTATCTTTTTTTCATTTTCAAAAGCTCAGATCCTCAAAATCAGCCCACTCGGACGCAGACACAAAATAATGTCATTGGGGCATCCTGAGTCTGGACTCTGTTTTTTTTTATTGACAGTGAATAATAAACAGAGCTATTATTTTGATGTGGTATAAAGTCAATTTCTTTGAGCTCCAACACTGGGCCCTAATTTCGAAACATGTACTTCTAAAAAATAGAATAAAACATAGTCACTTCAGTGAATGGGTAATTATTTCGTGAATGGAACAATTCAGCTGCATATATTTATAGATCACAGACAGCAATTGGACACAAAAAAAGACATGTACAACTGGTTCTCAGGAAACAGGGTTTGTTAGCCCAACTGGATTTACTGAATGACGTTTCAAAGGAAACTTTTGGACAGCATCCAGATAAAGAAGGCTTGTTTGACATGTAGCATTGAGATTGTGAGGGAAGTAAGCCTTTGTTTTTTCATATAATCACAAAAAATAACTTATTTGGTAAGGTGTTGTGTTGACAAGTTTGAAATTTGGGCTGCAAAAAAAAAAGTGTCATGGATGTCCTTTTCGTTTAAGACAACAAAATTGGAAGATCCATCCAGAGTTTAAAAACAGATGGCAACCCACCTATCAGAAGGGCAAAGAATGTTCTGTAGTAGTTTTAATTGACAAAGCAGCTCTTCGAAACAACATCTGCCAAATTGTTACAGGCTGGGCGGCACATCGGAAAAACGGTGACAGGTTTTCTCACGGCATCACGGCACTTTGTAAACAGTTAACTCAGACATAAACGTCCCTGTGATACTGCCTGGTACAATTCCAAGTCCCTGCCTTTATCCTTTACAATGTACTTTGTCACCACTGATCTTACATGCCGTTTTTGCTCAGTATAAAGATCTTGCAAATTCCATTAAGTGGATGTAGGATTAAAAATTAAGCTTTGGAAATGCGGTTTCTTTTAATTAACTAAACAAACACTGTGTTATATTCCTTAAGTGTTGAAGCACATGAGTGACTTAATGTTAATCATAGCCTAATAAGCATGAGTGGAGCCAGTTTAGGTGTTTTCCTCCAATAGCAAACTAAGCATTCAAGTTGGAATCAACAAATAAGACGCTTTCAATAACACCAGAGGATAACTTGGGTAAAGTAATGGAAATATACTGTACTTATTTTTGGATGCAATGACTAGAAATGTATTGCATTTCAACTAACAACAGCAAACAGTTTACCTTGCTTAAAATATACTAAATGTCATACCAGATTTCAGGAAATGGAATTAAAGCGGGAAGGTGCACGATTTTGTTTTTGAATATGCGTTTCAAGTTTAATATTTATTTTAACTCTAGAGCTGTCAGTGGATCTCCTCCATTGCGACTGTTGATTCTGCGTATGATCGGTAGTCAAGTTTTGACATGAGCATCACTTCAGATGAGGAATGTACCAAAGTGGTTTGCACAAATAGCAACAGGATTTCTGATGCCATTAGGCCCATTTTGCCAGACAGATTAAAAGCAAGGGGATTTCACAAGCAACCGGGGAGGCATACTGAGAAAGAAAACAAATTCTTCTTTTTGTCTATGTGTCCAGGTGTGCGGAATCACACAATAGCAAATGTTTACAACAATGCATACAACGCAACATTAACAAGAGAATCTGAAATCAATGACGCAGCAGCTCCACAGGCACAACGGTCAGAACCGAAATAGGTTCAAGCAACACAAATCTATAGATTTGAATATGTAAGGTTGAAGTGAAGCTAGCCCCAGTATAGAAGTGCAGCAAAAATAAATGACAGCTGTTCATCACTTCACCAAGAGACGCTTGCATAAATGTCAGTTTATCCCGGCAAAGTTAAGCTGTTTACGTTCCCCAAACTGAATATACTCTCAGTTGTGTAATTGGGTGAACTGAAAGTGAGAAGGACACAAACATTTGAATCATACCTCCCTTTTTGGAAAACTGGCCAATTACCTGTTTAAGCACATGTGCAGTTAGTTGCATTGCTTGAACTGGGAGTCGGTACTTTGGGCTGGCGTGCCAATCAAAAGAGCATTACCCCCCCCCCCACCCCCCACTCCCCAAGAACCTCACTAGGGAGAGTACATGTGCTCTCTTCATTCATACTTTTTTTGAAAACTCTTACCTTGTATGATTCAACACAAGCTGTGTCTTGTGTGAGTTGACGTTCGCACATTTCTTTGTTCATTCATGTTCATTTATTTGTGGAAGGCATAACAGCTTTGAGAACAGAGAAGAGAACACAACAGGAAGAAATAAAGAAATTGAACATACCACTGGTGACTTTCAGCACATCTCGGGTTCAGCGCAACCGCATCCTCACCAACCTTCTTTCCTATCAGAGAAAAAAAAAAAGACAAAAGAAAATTATGATAATGAAGCCATCAAGTTTACACACCACTTCATTTTGTGTGCTGGAGCCAATCCCAGATGATTTCAGGGGAGCGGTAATGTACATTAGGACAATATACAACAGTATTCAATTAACTTAACATCGGTTTTTGGAATGTGTTAGGAAACCAGAGTATGTAAAGGCACGTCAGCCTAACGAGATGGTTTTACTTCTCTTTGAAGAATGCATTTGTTCCAGGGGAAATCTGCCAGTGGCAGGGGCGGTTGGTGTGTGACATGTTTTTCTTTCTGAATTAAATGTTTTAATTGGATGTGTTGTAAATATTGTTTTTCAGTGCCATAAACAATTGTAAGCTTGCAGAATGTTAACAAGGTGTAAAGTCGGTGTGCTTTTAAGAATCAACCTTTAACTTTTTTTGACACAACCTGAAACCTTTAATTTACCCTTCAAATCAACTTTTCTTTACAGTTAGTGCCAATTAGAGGATTTGTAGTGAAGTCTGGATTGTGCGATATGGGTGGTTGAACAGTGCTTCTTGTGTCTTTGTAACTTTCCACAAGTGTCAAATTCATGTCCATTTTGGTAGTTGTGTCACTAAGGAAGGGTACCATCAACAGCCACATTTCAGAACACATTACCTCAAAGACAGAATGTTCTGTATACATTTCAGTGAGACAGAACAGGATTACTGGGTAGCCCGGTATTCGAGTGGTTAGCACTTCGACCTCACAGTGCAGAGGTACCGGGTTCGATTCCAGCTCCGGGCTTCCTGTGTGGAGTTTGCATGTTCTCCCCATGCCTGCGTGAGTTTTCTCTGGGTACTCCGGTTTCCTCCCAGATTGGCAGGCTGATTGAACACCCTTAAATTGTCCCTAGGTGTGAGTGTGAGCTCGGATGGTTGTTTGTCTCTGTGTGCCCTGCGATTGGCTGGTAACCGGTTCAGGCTGTCCCCCGCCTACTGCCCAAAGACAGCTGGGATAGGCTCCAGCACCCGCCACGACCCTTGTGAGGATAAAGTGGATTGGAAAATGGATGGATTGGAAGATGGATAGATAGATAGATAGATAGATAGATAGATAGATAGATAGATAGATAGAAGGGAGAATGATAGACAGAGGAGAGAGATGCTTTATGCTTCCTGTACAGTAGGTGGCAGTATGCAGTACGCAGAGTGTACTGCATACAGAGTGTAACAGGATTACCAGTTTCTGCATGATTCTTCTTTTCTTCAAGCGTGGCGCTGATGTCATGAACGTCGCAATATGCTCTGATCAGACGCCAAAGAAACGTTGAGTTATGTCCAAACTAGAAACATAGGACCATTACATGAATGAAAACATCAAAAACTGGATCAGAAGGCTGTTTCTGACTAATTAAACCAACCTCCTCTCGTTGACTTGTTAGGATGTGTAGACTTTCTCTTTTGTCAGCCTCTGTGCCCTGATGCAAAGAGTCAATCCTCTCAAGCAGGCAACTTAACTTGTCTGTTGTCTCCCGCCTTTCATCCAAGTGTTCATCATCACTTTGTTCATCTTCATCCGAGTCAGTCAGTGCAGTTATATACCTGAAACACCAATGAAGAGACCAAATGCCGTCAATTCGATGTCACCGCCTGCAGTGACTAAGTTTGTAACTTTCAAGCAGATGGCACAGGTTTGATAAACAGCAACCGCATTAGATACATGTGAAAGGGTGGATATTACAGATTCAGTGCTTTGTACAACGATCATGACGGCAGATAGGGAGAATGTTCCAGATCTTGAAAACTCGGAGAGCTACAATCTGATTAAATTTCCATCTCGCTCCAGTAGTGCGTCCTTGTGATCATACTGTAGAAAGGCTTGGAAGGTTATACGTTTATGTGCGACTTGCAAGGCTTAATCTTTGAAATAAGTACAGTACTGTATAATGCTAGAGAGGCAGGATCAACCAGGTTGTCTCGGAGCCAGGGCTGGCTGGCGAATGTGGAGCACCGCGAGCGGGTGGCAGTTTAGTCGGCAAAGGTCCGGCCAATTAGGATTTTTCTCTCTCTTTTTTTTAATATAATAATAAAAAACTAAAACAAGCCAGACGGGGAAGCGGGCGGCGCTGGAGACACCAGGATCATGTCTTTCTCTGTCATTTAGCAGTCAATAACTATACAATCAAGTTACATCGACATGATTCATTGATTCAGTAATTGAATCACCTGATATGAAGTGATCGCTACACAGGCGAAAATCGCCACTATGAGAAGTATCCCATTTACTTGGTTCTACTTTTGAGTACCCTGCAGAATGCTCGTCCCTACTTTTTTCCTCACTTTCTGTGGCACCCTGGTGCACGACAGTTGTCTACCATTGTCATGTGCATTTACGTAAAGTAGTGAAATGTTTTGGAAACTGCCAAAGTGGCGTTGTTTAAGTTTGTCACAGTGCATTGTAGAGATGCGTGACATCATCATCTGGAGGTCTGTACCTGAGGGATTTTGCACAAAGACAGAGCGGCTTATTTGTCAGAGTGAGACACGCAATATTTGCATTAGATGCTTTATAGAACCTTTGAACTACTGTGAGTATAGACTAACACTTTAAGCTGACACCTAGAAAGCAGTAGTCAAGTGCAATTCTTTCACAATAGTAGAGCTAGACATGAAAGAGACACAAAGTTGGAAAAAAAAAATAGAACAGCTATTAAGCTCTGTGTGCGTCAGTGGTGGTTAAGGGAATATTTTGGGCTACAGGCCACGGTTCCAGAGTAGCGTGTCAGAGCGGGCTGCAGACACAAACATCAGTGACCCAACAGGTGCCTTGCGCCGCAGGCTCTATCCCGACTCCACCCACCTCCACCCTTATTGCGATGATTACAGGAGTAATATGAGGACATTTCAGCTCCACAAATCTGCACCATAATTAACCAAGTCAAATAACGTCAATAAAGTCACAATGGTGTGCTGACGACAAAAGTTAACTATTAACTGTGACCTATATTACTACAATATATTTAGTTATTAACTGGTCTAAAAATATGGCAAGAAGCCAATGAATCTCAGAAAATGTTTGACATTTGTATATCTGCAAAGTAACTGGTTGTAAATAAGGTAATTATGACTTGGTGAGTGCATGCATGTTGACTGTTGCATAATAAGTAGGTAAGGATGTTTGATACTACTTTTGACCACTGGCCAATCCAAGTAAGAGTTGTCAACTCTATCTGTACAGAGGAGTGACATGGGTTGAGTTCACTCAAAAATGTGTTCTATTGGCCATGCATGACATTTAGTTCCTGATATTAAAACGGCCAAAAGTGGGCAGCGTGGTATCGATGACTGGTGTCAGTCGCTGTTGCAATTACTCAATACCTTGAAATAATGCCAGAATCGGCTCAATATGAGACTTAGTACCCCCCGCCCCCATTCCTTACACTACATAAAAAACTAAAGATGAAAATCATAGTAGCAGAGGGGCTGAATTTAAGCATTGCATTTTTGAAGTGTAAAAGATACCACTGATGAGGCATATGCTGCTGTATTTCATGTAGATGGTGTGAGAAGGTTTCCCAGGCAGTGACCTCAGTCATGGTCGGTCCATAGTCCATATTTAAAAAAGAAATGGGTGGATTAAGTCAGGAAGGGTATCTATCAGGGGTAGTAAAAACTGCTGGAAATTCACATAATTTGTCTTATTGAATGACTTTAAATCCAGACTGGGAGCAGGTGAGATAGCCTCTTTAACCTATAATTGCTTTATCTAATGTATGCCATTTAATGTCAATAATATATTCCTGGTTATTTCAATGTTCAACAAAAAATAAATTTTCAAAAAAAAAAAAAAAGATGCCTGACATCTGTACAACAGAAATGATACCATAAAATGAATTGCGCTAAAGTAGTGTAAAAACTGAGGGTGCTGACTGATTTATGGCTGGAATTTCCTTTGGAACTAACAATGTGCTCGAAAGTTATTGAGAGCGTTGATGCTTGTTTGCCCACAGGAAATGTGCTCATTAGAAAAGCTACCCAGTACAGAGAACCCAAGGGACATGGCGAGCTTTCAATAGAGCTTAGCAAGTCTCCTTGGTTGCTCTGTACAAAAACAAACCCAGAGTTACCATGTCTACATCAGCGAGCCTCGGCGCATGCAGCCTCCCTTATTCAGTGTGTAGCCACTGAGAGCGCCAATGACAACCTTTCATCTGGAACAATCGTTGACAGATTCGACAAGGTCTACTTTCCAACAGATCAGCTGCTGAACTACATAGCTGATAACATCATTGAGTGTTTAGTACACCTCCTCTCACGGGTACTATACTGAGCAAAAAAAGGAAACATCACTCTTTCTCACGGACATAAAACAGTACCAGTAACTGAGAATGATGTGATCAATTTACTGACATTTCAATTCCACTAGTACGTGTGTTTAGGCACTGTAAACCTTCCCAAGATAGAAGGAGGCAGAAGCTAATGTTGAAAGTCAAGCACACTTGCCGAAAAGGAAAAAGGCAGATTAAATACTTACTCAACCTTTAATACAGTCTCCCACAGTCATAGATCTCTCCAGTCGATGGGTCCGAAGCCAATTGTTTTATATCGTGAAATAGCAACAGAGGAAATATTACCATGACGGAATTTACACAAAATAACCAAGCAATTGCAATTGCTTTATTTAAAACTTAAGCATGTTGAACAGACTTGCCTGACACTGAACAATACTTTTATGCTTAAATCAACAGTTCTCAAATGTCCTGAATACATTTCAAAAAAGGAAAGAGCTGTAATGTCCTTGAGCAAGTCGCATGACGTGAATGAATGCAGCGGATACGGTTCTAAATTACAAGTTTCTACAAGACACATTTCAATGAAGCCCCTGACAGCTTGGCACACCGACAAGTTGAATGTTGTTTTCTTTTTTTCCCAAGATCCAGAGAGGAAACTTGCAAACAAGAAGCTGTGCCAACATATGCAAGAACTATAACTTTACAACAGTAACTACCATGTTCTGACATTTATGACAATCAAAAAAGTCATGCAAATGTCATCTGAGCTGAATTGCATGGATGCAAGGAAAAATTGTGCAACCGGCTCCGATGGTGGGAAAGCAGCATTATCCCTAAAGGGGTGGAATTTTATCCCTTTATCATTCCCATTCGTCTACACACCTTTGGCTCAAAAATAACAGAGCGGTTGGACAAACTCTTTAATTAAAAGGAGGTACGTGCAGGACGGGATTTTTTTAAGCATAATAACCTGGGCATTTGCTGCAGCCATAAATGCTTGCATGCAACATGCCGAAAAGAGACCAAACGGCTTCGCTCAGACAACTGCGGGGGGTGAAACATCAGAATAAAAGACTGACCCACTTATTTTGCTCGTGAGTAAAAGGCCATTGAAGAACTTTAAGTGTTTGCAACTCAATTTACTGTTACTTATAGTAATCGGTGAAATCATCTAGATTGGAACACCACCGGCTGAACCGGATATTTAATTTCTGTTTGTGTTGTTGTAGTACAAATGTTCCGCAACATGAAAGACAAATCATAGCGTGAGGACAGTAAAGGGTTGGGAGTAGCAGAGCTACTGTGATTTAGGATTCAGTGACACCTACAGGTATGTTATGTCTTGTTGGCACTTCTTACATAATAGTTCCTCCTCAACAAGGCAGCACAGGTTAAGGTGAAGCAGTCGAAGGAACATCCGAGGAAAACAGTCTGACTGACAACAAAAGACCTCAAACCTTTGACTCAATCACCACGACTCAAGCCGTGAGGTGTGATTTAAAAGATATTCAAGTGGGCGTCTGTTGAAAAAAGGAACATCTGTTTATGTAACAGAGGGTGGGCATGAGTTCAAGGCATCTGGCTGTTGATAAAGGTTGGCGAATGGGCTTGTGGTCCTTCATTAGCCTGCTGTTTGAACAAGAATCAAAAACAAATACCGTCTACATGACTGTAAGTTAGACTCCACAACCTAGAAGTTGAGCAAGATAGATTTCTTCCACCAAAACTGCTTGTGGACATCAAGGAAAGTATGTAATATTCTTCTCTATGACACAAGTTACAAGCCGGTTGTTGTCAAGAGATGGAATAAACTTAGGAGAGGCAGCTTACAGTTTACCAATGCCCCTGTTGTGAGCCAATGACATCTGAGTGTGTGCAGTCTAACAGGTTGGCCAAATCCAACTCTGTAAAGTTGGATTTGGATACGGAGTGTGCGTATATGTGTGTCAGAATGACATTGAGGAAATTTACTACGAGCGCTATGCCTCGCCTAAGACCTGTCAAACTTGAACTATATAATAGAACTTTGATGGGTGGAGAAAATCTGCTGTGAAGTGCTATTCGGCTGCTGATTTGTTTGGATTAAGTACCTATTCTTCCCCAAATAATGGAAATGTATGTGTTCCGGGGGTTAATTAATGTTGCCGTCATTCAAATAATTATTAAATGGGCATCCAATGTTTTAAAATAATCTAATGTTGACATTCCTAATTGTCATGTGGGTTACTTAACCGTAACCGTAAGCTATAAAAACAATAAGACACGAAGAACATGCAGTAATTGTGTGGATGTGTAAAAATAACAAAACCAGTATAAAATGGAAAATCAAGAAATCATTGTGATGATCACTGAATGTTTACGGCAAAACTGAGGGTATGGATACTTTGACTCCTCATTGCTGCTAAACTAACAAACAAAAAAATTTTTGAAACTTTGATGTTTTAGAAGACACGAAAGAGATTACGTTTCATGAAAATTTTTGTTAAGGTCACGTTATACACAGGGTCAAATTCGAGGTTAAAATCATTTTCCAACAATACATGTTTTGTGAAAACTGACGCTGAGATACAAGGATTCAGAGGAAGGCATCCATGGCCGTTTTTTCCGAGCCAATTAAAATTTGTTGGGCTACAGCTCCCAACCCCCTGCTACAATTGACCTAAAATTTGAGATTTTGTGTTGTGTCGTCACTATCAATAAGTACAGAAAGGTTTCATTCAAATCAAAATCCACTTTTTCTGATTTTTTTGAGGTGATTTGATCATAATGTAATTTAAACATCTCCTCATTACAGTTTTGAAATAAAGTTGAGAGAAGAACTGAAGCTGTGTATGTATGCCTTACTTACAACCTTAGCTGTATATTTATGCTTTAAAATTTAAACAATTTGTAACATTTTAGATGGGTGTCAATTAATCGTGAATTCTCACCATTTGTGGCAGGGATCAGTCCCTATTCCCTGCAAATAGCAGTATAGTATGTAATGCTGTTCTATTATGCTAAAACCGCAAGTTTACTATATGGGCAAATCTATTAGGACATACCCCGAATAAGGTTTTTGGACAATTCTGTGTTTTAAGCTTTGGACAAATTCAATGCGTACGAAAAAATCATGTGCAGTATGCGAAATATGTTATTACTCACCCGCCCTCACTTTCCGCTTCTTCAGAACTTCGCCCCCCCGCTGTGGCCCCAGCGATGCTGCTTCCAGCCCTTTTCTTCCGTGTTGGTGTGGTCCTGTGGAGAGGAGCAGCTCGATGTGCATCTGGCCTATCGCCTGCCCTCAGGTCTACGCCAACTTGACCATGCCGCATTGGCAAAGTATTCTTCAATGCCTTCATCTCATCTTTTAGCTCTGACACACACTGAAGTAGGGCCTCGAGACGGTCCAGTACCTCAATCTGGTTCCCGTGTAGATCGGGACTATTCATTAACGTCATGCCAGTTGCAAGTTCATTATTAGTGCGTAGGTAGTGCACTGGCAATGAGGCTCTTCGTTTCATCTTGTAGCCCTGGTAACATGCCACGGCCAAGCCAATGCCAGCGACTCCAGCCAAGGCTCCCAAAATCAGGACTTTGTTGTCTGCTTGGGCCATCCTGAAAGCCTGTGCAGAAAGAAGATCTTTAGGTTACTAATTTTGGGGGTGGGAAGAGTTGACATCAAATGTGTTGCAAATATGATTTTTATAATGTAAAGCAAAATACATGTAAAATCACCTTTGTTAGCTGTTACAACCATAATAAACAGCGACATAAGCACAGTATTTGCAATTAACAGTGACAAAATGCATTAATGTATTAAATTTCTAAGCTTTCTTTTGACACATCATTGTGTTGTCGTTGTAACAGTAAAAAAATGCACAGACGTCAATAAATAATAAACAAGGGACAAAGGCGTAAGTCACACACTGGCAGCATTGTTTTTATTACCGATTTGCTTTACTGTTTATTGTATATGTTCATTTGCTCCATGTACAGCACTTTGTATGCAGCGATGGCTGTTTGAAAGTGCTCTATAAATACAGTTGAGTTGAGCATAATCAGTATAAAAAATATAAAGCTGAATCAAAACACTCAGCAGGGAGCATGTGGCTTTGCAGACAGCAGCTCGACGAAGACTGAACAATCCGTCTGTCTATCAGCTACAATATCTTTACTTTGTAGCAAAAATAAACAAAGGGAGGGAAATACACTGTGTTATTACCCACAATCGGTTGCTGTTAGCTTCGTTCAGTTCAGTCAACGACCAAAACAAAGTTGCTAGCCAAGGTTATACAACAAGACTGTAACACTGTTATGAACACGCAGCATAATGACACTCGATATTTCAATACATGTCATCTTTTTCCCCCCGATACAAAACAGATATCTACATTACTGTGAATTTAGTTGCTGAAGAGAGAGAAGCCTAGTTGGAAATGGTCCGTCTAGCTCTTTAGTGCACCGAACAAAACAGTCCGTGCGGTTTTAAGTGCAGTAAGTACAAAGTTCCGCTTTACCAAAACAGCGCGGTTCATCATCATTCTCATTATTAATTTTTTTTCATGGTAACAGATGCTTTTATGTCATTTGAGAATTGCTCAAATCAGAACTCACACCTCATTAAAGGTATGATTGAAATTATTTATTTGTCACCCGCTGATGGAAGATTCACTGAGCTGTCTCTTGATTTTATGATCACGTGACAAAGGACCCTGTCCAAAGTTCACAACAAAAGTTGTGATGATATAAACTAACCACGTTGCACAAATCCAGCTAACAATACAGCTTGCATATGAAATCCTAATTACTCACTAAAGTGAGGAAAAAAGTTGTTACCATTTTATTCTTGTGTGTATATACTGTACTTGAAAATGTTATAAACAATCTTGAAACATTACCATTATGAATTTGACGTTCAATATATAGAAATACTAATGAATAGACACTTACCTTTTGGAATTTGCTCCTCTCACGTTCTCTTCAAAGGACACTGACTCTCTAGCTCATTATGGAATCAACCTTGGAAATGTGGACATTTCAGTCGTCCTCAGTGAGGTTTATTTAGGAGTTATAAATAGCTTTCACGGAACAGAGGGGCTGGCTGAATATTAATTTTCCTGTTTCTGAGCTTTTTCATAAAACGAAAGCAAACAAGATGTGTAACTTTATTAAGTAAGTCATGGTTAGACCGATGCTGTATATATTTCACATGCCCAAAGCACTTTATCATTAAATAGAGATGACTGACTGATGTAATGCTGCGTGAAGTTCTTTTATGTAATGATGTATGCTACGTGCCATTTTCCACCAAGCACTTTGAACACAGTATTGTTCCTTTGCCCATAACCTGCATTCTGCCAGCAGAAAACAAAAACCCTCGTGAAATTCAACTGCTGAGGGGAGAAAAGAACGGGCGAGTAGCTCTGGGTATGTCCTGCAGGCAAAGATGTGGTGATAACGGTGCTTAAAACAGTAGTGGCCTTGTTCCCATTGGGTCAAAGTCAGCAGACAAGTAGATAATGTCAACACTGTAATTTTATCATCCGACACACATCTGTTCAATTGCTCATATGACCCAGAAATAAATCAAAGCACCTATTTTAGCCAAAGATTTTCTTTCATGCAAAAACCCAACGCATTTAACAAAGAAAAGGAGCATCGACACAGGCATCATCGCATCTCATGCTTTGACACACATCAGTCCAAAGCCATGTTGTTTCCTGTGTATGATTTCAACACAGTGCATGATGTAGCCATTTCACTGACAGGCTAAACAACTTCAGCATCTGTTTCATGTCATGTTGTTATGGTTTTGTGGCACAAAAAGGACCGAACCGGTCAAATTTAGCATTGCTAAGAGGAATAAAAAGGCAAAGTCCAGCCAATGGGCCTCCACTTGTTTGACTTAAGTGTTGCTCACCCGCAAGCACTCGGTGCTTGAAAAATTCATGAAACAAAGCCACTATGACTGGTTGCTTTTGTTTTAGCGCGTGTTGCAATAAAACCGAAGACAAAACGGATTTGAATGTGTTACTTATGTAATTATAATAATTTACAAGCAACCGGCCAGCAACTGGTATGGTACACCCTGAATTGGGCAGGCCATACATGTGCACAAATAACCATTCACCCACACACATCCACATCCATTTGGGAATTTAGAGTCTTCAATTAATCTAACTTGGATGCTTTGAGAATGTGGAGGAAGCCCAAATTCACAGAAAGAACCCAAGCACATGGCGAACATGTAAACTCCACACCGAGACGCTCCAACGGAGATTCAAACCCAGAACCTCTTTGACTGTGAAGGAGATGTGTTAACCACATGCATCTCCATGGTGTCATGCATGCAAGTCATGGAAAAGCAATGGAATTGATCAAAATGGCACAATAACTGGGCAGATACAAAGTACAGATTAAATTTAAGGCCATAGTTAAATGATTAAAAGTCCAATGGTACAGTCTGCCAAGAAGATTAGCAGGCAACCAACCCAAACATTACAAACGGTGACAAACAGAAACCTGCTTTGGGTGGCTTGAACACAGTGGTACTGAATAACTTTAATAGTAATTACCGAACAACAAGGATGAAGAGAGAAGGGACCTTTATAAATGTTAGAGGGTTGATGAGGGAATGAGGAGAAAGTGAACTGCAGAATCAAGTGGAGGCTGGTTGCTGAAGCAGACTGAGAATACTGTAGAGTGGAAAGGGGTCAGAAATGAAGAATTATTATTCTGAGGAATTGTACGAAAGTGTGCAATTGATGCATATGCACAAAGTACAGATGGGTAAAGATTTTTATCTTTTGTCTTATCAGCCACTTAAATCGCCATTTGTACACAAATACTTTTTTTTTTTAATTTGTTACTCATCCATAAATGTCCTTGTATAAACCAGTTTTATCCAATGTGCAATTCAGTTAAAGGAGAGAAAATAGGCTGCAACTAATTGCTTTTGCTGTATTTTAGTGAATTCTTTCGACCAGTCTTCTTTTTCTCATGTTCCAAGTTTCACTTTCAGACTGTATTCTCTTGATCTGTTTTTGCAATACAGTGGGCCTGCCATGAGCAGGTAAGGGCTGTGTTGGTTCAGCAGTCATGGCCTTTTCTAATTTTATGTATCATGGGCACACAAGCAGACACTCTTCTTACGTTGTTTAAATCTGGTGTCGAATTTGTGACAGTCACTGCCCTCTGGTGTGTGATGCTGAATTGCACATTCCTGTTTACACAGTGAAATAAACATTTTAATGTTATCTATAAATGTATAAACTTCAAAAAGTTTATACCGTAAGTATACAGTAGTATAGTATAGTGTAGTATAGTATAGTATAGTATAGTATAGTATAGTATATGGAAGCTGGCATTTTGGGACCAGACGATGTTTGGTGAATAATTTGGAGATAGCATTAGAAAAGATACAGTGCATACAGATTGTTATGCGACCTATGTTTTGACCAATGACAATCACAGCAGCTCCCCATGGGCTCTCGAGCCACATCAAATGACTACCCAAGACACACTGTCTTGGGTCGTTGTTGCTTCAATTTCTGTATCAAGTTTAACACCAATATCAAACACAACACTGCACAGGCAGCGTGAATGAAGTATGATCACAACAGTACTGCAAAAACAGTTACAGACAATTTATCAAGCTGGCAGAATGTTTCATGTTATCAACTTTACTTTCAACACTGAAAAGCCTCCCAAAACACTTGTAAAAAATACGGACATTTTTTTTTCTCTCATTAACTATGAGAAAAATGTAGAGTGTTGTATTAAGCTGCCATGCATGTTTTCAGAATGTGGGAGCAAACTGGAGCACCCAGAGAAAACCCACACAGGTGGGGAGAACATCCAAACACTACACAGGAAGGCCGGAGCCAGAATCGAACCCTGCACCTCTGCACTGTGAGGCGGACGTGCTAACCAGTGGATCACCGTGCTGACCGATGTCAAAGTCCATGAGGCCTAATATATATTCATCTCTTCTTTTATTATTTATAATTTTATCTGTGGTTTTATTGTTTTTGTTCCTGATTGTAAAGTGTCCTTGAGTGTTTTGAAAGGCACTTATAAATTAAATTTATTATTATTATTATTATTATTACATCAGAACAATTATACAAGTATGATGCTGCAGATGAAGACTGGACTGGTGGCGCCTGACACCCACCAATATATAACTCGACCAACAGGGGGCACTCAAATAATACATTTGGAACACTCCCTGCTTGTACCGTGCTCAGAAAAAGTAGAAAAAGCTCTTTCACGTTTTCTGACCACACAGTCACACACTTGAGTATGTTTTTTGAGATTTTATGTGACAGACCAACATAAAGTGGCATATAATTGTGAAGTGCAATAAACATTCTAAATGTTTTTGAGAATTTCAAGTGAATATACATCTGAAAAGTGTGGTGTGCATAATGTGCATTTGTGCACAGCCCCCTCCCTGGACTGTGATACCCTTCAGTGCAATCCAGTGCAATCAATCGCCTTCGGACGTCACTTAGTGAGTAAAGTCTACTTATGTGTAATTTACTCTTGGTATGAATACACCACACTGCGGCCCTCGAGGATCAGATAGTGGACGTGCCTGGCTAGGCCTTATTATCAATGATGCTTCATCTAGCTATCACTATTATTTGTTGGATCTATTATCAATTATACTCAAAAATATATTTTTTAAATCGTCTTATTGATAATAGTAACACATATTGGCTGTATAAATATATATTTCTCATCTGTGTACATATTAGTTGGCTGACAATTTCATATATGTTATGCAGTTTTGGATTATTTATTCACTGGACCAAAAATGAGTTCCAATATTCCTATTTTTATAAATACATATTGTCATTGACACAAATATTATTTAAAGGCAGTGATCTCCTACTGTGGAGTCCAAACATTTAACATTACACACCTATAGTTAAAGATCCTCAGTACAAGTAATAACTTTACCAGCTATGGTTCCAAATGTTTCCTTTTAAAATGTCAAAATCATTATTAAATTAATTAATCATCGATTTGAAGAAAAAAAAGTAACCTAAAAGTAAAAAAGTAACTTATTACTCAACACAATTGTAATAATGTAAAGAAGCATATTACTGTACTTTCAAATGCAAGTAACTAGTAATATGAAATATTTTACATTTTGGTAACTTGCCCAACACTGTCTACAAAGTAATAAACTAACTAAGCACCAAAAGGCGATCAAAACAGACCTCGACATAATTTAAAAAAAAGTCATGCTGACAAAAACAACACGCAACAATGCATATTTGTAAAAGCTACAATTTTTCTTGTTGTTCCATCTTTGGCTCTTTGCATGTGGTTGCTGAGTGAAAGCCAGCACGGTGCCTAGAATAGCAGAGGTTGGGGAGGGACAGCAGACTTGCATTTGGCCTGCTGAGAGCAACGCTGTAGAGTATCTTTCAACTGTCTGTTGGCCTGTGGAGTGGTGGCTGCTTTTTCCTATGCATGCCGGTGGTCAAC